AAGCCGAGGCAGCAGAGCGGAATGAGTCCGACGCCGAGCGACCGACCGAAACGACGAGCACGAAGGCCAGCAGCGCCAAGACGAGGTTGAAGAGGTGGAAGAAGACGAGCTGGAACGTCAAGAGGCGCAGTGGACTTGTAAGTGCATACCAAAAGATATTGTCTTCGTGGTCGTCGCACGGCGGCGGCGGCACGGCGTAGTACTGGGGCGGCGCAGCTTGGTACCCGCCATACATGGGCACAGCAGCCGGCGTCGGTGCGGCCACTGGCACCGCCATCACCGGCGTCTTCTCCGTTGGTGAGAGCGCAGGATACATTATCGTTCAAGGAAGTTGACAATTGAAGAATGTGTTGAAATGCAAACTCTCGGGCGTCACCTGCATTCTGCTCGGAATGTAGGTTTAGGAATGTCGGTAGCAGAGTGTCGGTGGATCTGACTACAGTATCTGAAGCCCTTACCACACACCCTGTAACCCCGCCGGTGTCGATAGAGCACGTACTAGCGTTGGGCACTAGTCCCGGAAGTGAACGAGAAAGAGGCGAATCACGGCTGCAGAGCGTAGTAACACTTCAATATTTGCTGAATTGTAGCAAATACGCGATTCTTTGGGTTGGATATCACAGAAAGCACTGCGTTTTCAGTACTACCAAGGCCATACACATTATCACATTGATGTTACTACAACGTACACGTGTCGACTGCAAGTGGTTATACGTACTACACACTTGGAACTAATGAAAAGACTGCAATCGTAGGGCACCTAACGCATGGCGTCGGACGGTGGCACCGTCTGCTGTCGCGTTATGGTATCGCTGAAACTTCCATGTCGTACAGCCCGGAAATGTGAAAGAAAATGATTTTAGGAGCAGTTTATGGTCGCATGAACGACCGAGGAGTACTAGTAAGTTACCAGGTACTGTGAGGTCCAGCACGAGCGCAAGGCCAAAAGGCTATCCGGACTAAGCACAATCCGTCCATTGTACTAGTACGTAAGTAAAATGGACGGATTGCGCTTTTCTGCTGTCCTATTACCGTAGACCTAAATACAACCAAATTGGCCAAAAACAAAGATAACTTATGAGGTTTATTTTTCCTCGAGTGGGATATTGTGAGTATCGCGCCAAAATTAACCAGTGGTGAGATATTGGTCCAAGGCCCACCTAGACGCCTTGAACTTGACTGGCACCTACCAGTCGACGATCACTAAACTGCAGCCCCTTACCTTGACTAGGGCAGTATTAAGGCGAGCCAGCGCTCGGAACAGCAAGTTGCTCATGGTGCTCGAAATTTCGGATGGTGAGTTATGTGAGCGCCTAAGCGGACTTAGTGCGTTATACTAGTAGTGTGGAAAATCGGGTTTGGGGATCAATAAGTGAACAAAAGTACAAGCTGGCGCGCCTTTTGCTATACGAAGCATGTTTAAAGATACGGTATGTGGCAGGTCTAATAGGTGGCCGGATACGAACCTCTTATGCAACGAAGAAGCTTGCCATTGAACTTATTTCAGGACACGACTTGAATTTGAGCGGCAACTCGACAATGCGCAAGACTCTGTCCATAAATGATACCAGAACGCTTTTGCGCACACCATCACACGATCCGTCGTCGAGACATGTGGCGTCAAAGATACTAAAGCTGGACATTTTTATGGTTCTAATCTTTTCATTTTGTTGTACAAGGCCGCGCACTGCGCATCGCGCTCTGGCATCGCCTTGTACCATGGGCTGTCGTGCGCCAAGTGGGTGGATCGACCCCGTCTCCGTCACTACCATTTGGTGCTTCGACCCACAAAAAACAGATTATCTAACCTTTTGCAACGAGCACGTGATTATGGTAGCACTCCATCCACACGATGTTTGCGCCCACTCGCTGCCTCGACCCGAGGGTCGTGATCAATTGTTATTGACCCTCGCTCTGGCGTACTCAGCGTCATTGTTCGACAAAAAAAGTCCAAGCCAATCCACCAAGCCTCTTGTGATTCGAGCGCGATGGGTTCTCAACCGACTTGCGAGCTCTGCAGGCTCGTCTCGTAAATCGGGCCTTGGGTACGCTTTCGGAGGCTCGTTATGTGGAAAGTGGAGGCGCGTGTCGCAGCCCGTGTTACGTTGCGTGCACGCCAGTGCCACCACTTGCTTATGTGCTCATTGCAGTTGCCGTCGGACGCCGTCTTACCAGAAACGCAGAAATGGGACCAGTAGCTACTGTACATGATGGGATTCCACATTATCCATCGGCAGCTACAACGTACCAAGGTCGGTGCAGCACAGACGACACAATAAATTGCTGCATCCTTTTCTCGCTGCAAACGCAGGCTGGCGACATCATGTTCTGGAATGCACGAAATGATGATGGCTGTGTGTTGTTTTTATCGGTCTACACACTCGCAACTGCAACGCGCGGCGTGGAACGGGTTGAACGGCCCGTCGAAACTGGATTCATTTTCGATACATTGGTGTCGTCCCAAGTCTGTACATGTTGTCAACAACTTGTTGACATGTCCAATGTGTAGTACAAGGTAGCCGGCGAACGAATCCAGCGCCGTGCCCGTGACGTAGTTGGTCCAGATCCACTGTGGTATCACGGTGCCATTTCTGCGCAACAGCAAACAACTCGTGAGCGGGCGTTGCGTGTCTACGTAGCCAAAATATGGCGCAGCAAAACTCAAAGGGTGCCATCATCGTCGGACCCATTCGGACATTTGCGTCGGGCGCATGACATCCCAGCACTCGCTTCGCACCAAGGTCGAGTTCCAGCGCCAAGGCAGCTCGCTCGACACGACACCGAGCGACGACGACGACCCGATGACCGACGACTTGAAGCCACGGAGGGCGGTCGGGCGACCGTCCAAGAAACCCGTTATCGCCCACGGGCTCTGGAGCTTGGAAGAGCACGAGCGCTTCCTCGTCGGCATCCAGCTGTACCCGGAAGGGCCATGGAAGGCCGTCGCCGACATCATCCAAACCCGCAACGCCAAGCAAGCGCAAACGCACATGCAGAAATGCAAAGAGAAGATCCTCCGGCATCGGCGGCGGCGCGACGAAGTGCTTCGCGGCGTCATCCTCGACGACCAACATGCCGAGAACGATGTGATTCGCTTGGCGGCCGCGGCGGCGACGGCCAACCCTGTTTTGTTGCGGCGGTCCAAGCACGCCGACAACCTGCGCTTGGCGTCCGTGGAGCCCATTCCGCTCGACTCGCCGGCCGCCGCCGTCCTCAGCAGCACGCAGCCGCTCGATGGCCACAAGATCACGTGGACCGAGGCGCTCGACTACTTTTGGACATTTGTCTCGGCCGCCGACGACACCGAGGAGCGCTTTTTTGCGTGACTTGGCGCCACGTTTTAATAGGTTTGATAGGTTATATAGGTTGAATGGAAGGTGTGGATTGCGTTAAAGTATATTCGCTCGTGGGTTGTCGACCAAGATCTAAGGTGCGATGGCCGTCCACACGCTTCTGTGTCATTTTGCATTGGAACCCATCGTTGCTGATTGAGAGACTGTCGTGTTACAGAGGCGGCGAGGCACCAAAGCGACGCAACGTCGTTGGCAACGAATGCCATTTCGCTGGTCGTCGTCAAGCGGGTGGCACGTCGCGTGCACTTGCAGAGAGATCTTGGGCCCTTTGCCACTTGAGATCTCGAGGGACAGAGGCTCTTGGCGACCCTTCGCAATCACCTTAGGTTTAGTCGCCCCTCCCTTGCGACTCGTGCTAAAAATCCCAGCAGCGCAACAGCCAACAGCGTCTATTTCGGAGCATGATGTGTTTGCTGGGGCCGTGGCGCGTTTTCGAGGCGCCACGTCATTTCGCTGTGGATAGTAGCTACTGTACGCGACAAGTGGAGTAGCTTTCGTGTGCTGCGCACGCAGTGTTCTGGATTGCGTCGTCGAGGGCAGACTAGAACGACTACCTCTGTGATGTGTGAAAGTATTCACTTCTATATTTTCTGTGCCAGCTGCCCCTATTCGGTATTTGGTTCTGTCCCTTGCAAAGCGAATTGTGGATTGGAATCGACTACAATTAGTTGTTGTTTGCAGGAGACCTGATTGGTTGCGCGTCTTCAACCAGCTCCAACTCGTTTAAAGCGCATGTACGCGTTAAACCCAACGTCTAATCCCAACCTCACCCATATTCATCGCAGCAGCCGCCGCCGCGTCGCACCAATCAGATGCGGGCCCAGAAACAAAATAGCATGAGCGGTCACCAAGTTGCAGCTCCGCGCCGACGGAAGATCTTAGCTTGGCCGCGTACATCTCGCGTGCTTTTATGCACCACCGCGCCGTGTCCATGCGCCCAAGCCACATCGTTGAGATCCCATCATCAACGTCGGCGAGGTCCAGGTCGATGACGCAGCATGTCGCGCTGCTCATCGTTTTCAGGGCGCAAAAGTTCGACGCTGACAAAAATTGAAATCTTTTCAAGTTTCGCGCGGTGTAGAAGACTGCTCATCCTTCTTGCGTGGCTTCCAAGAGAATATCGACGACCTCCGTGCGCGGCTTTGCTCCCAGCTCCAGGCACCTACCTCGAGCGAGCTATCACTTGGCGAGTGGGGTCCACCACGGGATGGATCTCTCCGTGCGCAGCTCAACTTCAACGACCAAGTACTGGTACCAACGCCCACGCATTCATGCATAGCACTATGTATGCGAAGGCTATGAGTTCGATTTTGCAAATTTGTTTTCAACGCGAACTACGTTTTTTGTTTGATTGATTGTTTGATTGATTGATTGATTGATTGATCCAGAACCCTTTTTGAAGTCTTGTATTTAACGTCGTGTCGGCTTCAATAACCTCAAAATGTTAATTCGATTTGCACTAT